TGCCAGTGACCCTTTCCCTGTCACCAGCCTCAAAGAACATTCGGAAGTGGTGGTCGAGATCAAGGCAGCACGTGCCGGAGATGCACAGGGCAGCATGGAGCTCGCTAGTGCAGCTCACGTGGTGGTCAGTGTGGAAGGAGCGGAACTCGCGGTTTTTTGACCACAAGAACTCGACGGAAGAACAGGTGCTGGATCGAAGCAAGAATGATCTCATTTGTTGGACCGCGGTAGGCAAGCATAAGCTGGCCCTAATGATTCACAGATCTAGGGAACCAGATTAATATTTGTGTTGTTGGTAGGTTAGTAATGAGGTTCGGACTGTAATTAGGTGGCTGGATACTAACTTTGTATCCTGGGTAACTTGCTATACCCCTAGGGCTGGAATTCGAGCCGAGTCGACTCAGCTCGGCTCGACTCGCTAGAGGTCGTTTCGTTAGCGAGCTAGCTCGACTCGACTCGTTACTATAACGAGCTTAAACCCAAGATTGGCTCGACTCGTATAACTCGCGAGCTGGCTTGTTTAGCTTGTTAAGCTCGTTAAAAATATGAACATAAAACCCTCAAAATGATAAAAATAATTATGTATATATTAAACATATATATCACTAAACAATTGTAATTTTCTTGTAACGCATGAGTCTCCTAGGCGGCTGGGCCTTGTGTTGTGCGCCTAGATCGTAGGGTGCTGAGTGGCTTATCTTTTTTGTATTGGAGTGGTTGATCTTTTGTACCGAGCCTAACGAGTTACACGAGTACTCGTAAGATTGGCTCGTTTAACTTGGTCTATAAACGATTTTAAACTAAAGCTTGGCTCGACTCGTTATTCTTCGAGTTCGAGTCGATTCGAGCCGAGTCACGAGCTACTCGTTTAGCTCGCGAGCTTCGAGCTTTTTTTCCAGTCCTATATACCCCTGTAAAACTCTTCTCTAATTTCAATGAAATGCTGCATCATGCAGTCTTTTTGTCAAAAAAGAGTTATGTTTTGGCTACATTATGTGCTTCGAACAAATTTATTTTTACTGGACAATTAACTTGTTTTTGTCTTTTTATTCGTATAGAGAAGGCCTGGAAACCAAGCTTTGATTGGAAGCATAAAACGATAGCAGTCTCGAACAGTGGCGAATCTTGGATGAAAATGAAGGACAGGCTCAACTCCTCAGTACAAGGGTTGGAACGGGTAAACAACAGGCTAGGCATAGACAATGGGTTGAGATGGGCTAGAAATTAGTAGTAAATTTTTGTTCTTGAATTTCAGAGTGCAGGCTTGACCCTGTTAAAGCATGCCCAGTAGAATCACCACTGGTCTCGAACCACTTGTTCAAAGAAAAAGTCTCCAACCAAAAGCTAGCAACGGTTTATGATAGTTTTTTATTTGGCGAAGAGTTTCTTACACATATGAGAAGCGAAGTAGCATTAGCATGTGTTGTAGGTCTAGCCTACTTTTTCTTAGAACATTGTTAGAAAATGTCTTATAAAAGTTTACAGAGGGAGTAGTAAACAAACTACTCCCTCGAGGTCATACATAAATGATGCTTTAGGACATTGAAAGTCTACAAGATCCAACTTTAACCAACAATTTCTACTATAGCATATCGATAACACTCAAATACATTTCGGCAAATCTACATATATGATTTTTTTTCAAGGTTTTTCCTACTAAAAGTACTTAAAATAATATCAAATCTACATATAAGTTTCTTCCTAAAAGCACTTAAAAATATATAAAAAGCCAAAGTTGTAAAAGCTTTCTATAGATATGTCCAAAAATATCACCTATATATTTGCTATTGGTACTTTCTAAAATAAGTTGTTTATGTTTGTTGATGTTGGAACAATATTTGAGATGTTCATAAAAATACTTGAAGGGGCGCACTAATTTAGCCGTACAAAATCAATTGGTTATTTTTTTAGTCTAGGTTTATGCGAATCGCGAAGACATTTTTCACCCTCCAGATGATATTAGTTGAGGCGAGAAATATTGGGTGTAACACAAGTTTTAATTTCGTCAAAAGAACAAGAGAATGGGATTTGTATGCCACCATGTAGTTATTTCAGCATAATAGAAATCAAAATCCCCATTACAGATACTACTACCTCTATTCCAAAATATTTGAAGCTCTAGGTTTGTTGTAAGTCATGCTATTCAAATTTGATCAAGTATATAGAAAATTGTGTTACCGTCTAGATTAATATCAAATATATATGGAATGAAAATATACTTTGTGATGAATCTAATGAATTTAGTTTGGTTTTGTAGATGTTGATATATTTTTCTCTAAACTTGGACACATTTAGAGCTTCAAATATTTTGGGATGGGGGAGTGTAGAAAAATATATTTTCACCAAATTGATGAACAAAAACACACTAATTGGTGTCTAAACAATAAGATGTGTTAATGAGGTTAGTGGCCATCTTTCACTATTTCCATTTTTATTTCTATCGCATAAACTGTAAGAAAAAATTCAGGGAAATCCTTATTGTTGTATGGGGAGTAAAAGCGGCCCCATAAGTAATACTCCCTCCGTTCCTAAATATTAGTCTTTTTAGATATTTTAACAAGTGACTACATATGAAGCAAAATGAGTGGATCTACACTCTAAAATATGTCTACATACATCCGTATGTGGTAGTCCATTTGAAATGTCTAGAAGACAACATCCGGAAGCAACACATCTGCTGGGAGACCTATGGCGAAAGCGCTCGCGCGCGTGGTTGCGTGGCCGCCGCCGGCCTGATCTCCTGGCTCTGGCCTGCTCCGCGTCCAGCGAGACCAGATCCGGAATCCCGGTCGCGTGCTCTCTCTCCTCCGCCAGCTCCCCTCCCCGTCTGCCAAGCCGTCATGGCTCCCCACGCTCCAACGTCGGCGGCCGCCACGGCCCCTCTGGCCGGTGTCCTCCCCGCTATGATGTTGGCGGCCGCCCCGGCCTCTTCGGCTCCTCCTGCCAGCGCCCCCGCTCGGGCGGTGGAGGCCGCCTCAGCTGCTCCTGTCGGCGCTCCCGCTCCGACGACGCCGGCCTCTCAGGCTCCTTCTGCCGGCGCGGCCCCAGCCCATTCGCCGTCGCCCTCTGCCAAAGACATCGCTGCGGCCTACCTCGCCTCCCGCAAGGCCGACCCGGTAGTGCGGGGACGCTTTGCCTCACGCAAGCTTCCCTCCGCGACCGAGATGCCGGCCAGCTCCGATCTGGTCCTGGCAACTCCGACGCCTACCACGCCGGCCGTCGTTGCTGCCGGAGACAACAGCCTTCGGGGAGTTGCCTCTGATGGCCGCGCTTCAGACGAGGACAACGGCGTGCCTGCTGCTGTAGCTTCCCACGCTGCTGTTGAGGGCGATGGGCACATCATGCAGGCGCCTCCGGTGCGTCCAGGTTGGGGAGATTGGAGAGGATGTTTCGACCGCGAGGCGGCGCCGGAAGCCCCTGTGTGTCAAGCTCCAAGTGGGAATGCGTTGGGGGAATGCCAGCTTGTCCCGAGGGGCCGCAGATTGACTTCCATTCCTTTCCGTCGCCCTGCTATCAATATGTGGCGTCCTCCGCCAGCGTGGTTGAGAGACAGGTGTTTCCGATGCCTCTGTCGAGGTCACTATGCTCA